CTGCTCCTGGCCTTTGGCATCGCCCTTGTGTGTCTAGAATAGGACATGAATGTTCTCCTCCCTGTAACTCCATCCTCGCACTCCTCGCCCTTGGGCCCAATGACGCCATTTTTCAAAAGAAGTTTTGGCTTGTCCATCCATCCTTACCCCTGGTTTTCCCCAGGGGACCCACTGGGGAAGGTGTGGAGATGTTGGTCCCTGAAGGCCCCGACCCAGAGCAGCTTCAGCTTCGGGGCTTCCCCAGCAGCACCGTGACCCCCACTCCTACACACCCCTCAAGCATACAGGCACCCCCTTTCCTGCGCATTCCCTGCCATCCCAGCCCCTCCCTGTCTCCCCCTCCTTGTCTGGGTTCTATTTATGTAACAGCTTCTTTGAAAAATCACTCACCCACCCTGCAATCAGCCACTCAAACTATAACCTAACGATCAGTAGTACCCCCCTGTGCAACCACCACCATATCCAGTTTTATAACATTTTCATCGTCCCCCAAAAGAAACCCTCACTGGAGTTGTCACCCCCCAATCCCCTCTCCCTCCTCACCCAGTCCCTGGCACCAACCTACTTTTTCTCTCTTTAGATTTTTCTCTGACTGGAACTGACTTCTTCCTCTTACCACCATGTTTTCAAGGTTCAAATATATTGTAGCCTGCATTGTCACTCCATTCCTTTTTTACAGTTGCATAATATTCCACCGTGTGGAGACAGCCGTGAATGGTTTAACAACAGTTTGGTCAAAAACCATGGCCCCAGTAAGCTACACATATGTGCTGTCCAGGTTGCCTGCCCTGTGTCTTTACACTTTGTCATTTCACACGCTGAAACCACCTAACTGCATTTCTCAGGGCCTGTCCTCATGTCAACCCCCACGACTGTGAGCTGTGTGTCATTTACCCATTCATCTGATGGTGATCGGTGGGTTGCCCCCACTTTTTTGGCTAATATGAGTCATGCTGCTGTGCCCATTCATTCATCCATGAGTTTTGTGGTGACGTATATTCTCATTATTTTGTGGAGAGGTCCAGGGAGCAGAATTGCTGGGTCCTCTGGTAGATCTAGATTTAGCATTTTGACGATCTGCTATCAGCAGCAGGTAAGTGGTTGTGCCATCTCACACCCCCAACAGCAGGGCGTGAGGGCTCCAATTTCACCATATCCTTGTCAACACTTGTTATTATCTGACTTTCAATTCTAGCCACTGAGCGGGTTGAGGTGTCTAGTCATGACCTTGGTGGCTGGTGATGTTGAGCATCTTATCATGCTTTCTTTGGAGAAATGTTTTCAAGTCATTAGTCTGTTTTCAAATTGGATTATTTGTCATTTTTATTGTTCAGTTGTAAGAGTTCTTTATATTTTCTATTCTCGATTATCTTCTATGATTTGTAAATATCCTTCTCGCTCTGTGGATGGTCGTTTTTACTTTCCGGATGGGATTCACAAAAGCTTTACATATGATGAAACCTCTTGCATTTTTTTCTCCCTTCAGTTGCTAGTGTTTTGGGTGCTACATCTGAGGAACCATAGTCTGGGCATTTTTAGGCAAAAGGGAACAGCTTTTGGGAGCTGAGAATTTCCAGCTTTTTCTGGAATGAGGCAGGTCTTCATTCACATAAGCATTCATTGAGAAAAGTTTTGAAGCCTAACTTCTGGCCGGGTCCTAGTGATACAGTGGCCCAAGGCAAAGCCAGTCCTCACCTTCCTTTGGCCTCCGAGACAGGCAGGGAGCAGATGGCCAGAACAGAATGACTTAATGACAGACGTGAGGGAGACCTGGCTTTGCCTGGGAACTGGGGGAGCCTTGGGGCAGGGCACTTAGGCTCAGACCAGAGGCTGGGTCAGCACTGCCTGCTGCTCCAGGCAGCAGCAACAGCATGTGCAAAGGCCCTGGGGCGGAGGAAGCATGGGCTGTCATCTGGCTGCCGAGACCCCTCGGCCTACTGGCTTCTCTGCTGGGGCTCCCTGGGGCTCTGGTGGTCCCTGCAGATGTATGTGCAGCGCTGAGGCCCTCTGTGCCTTACGGGATGGAGTCCAGACCCCAGGAAGACCCGGATGCCTTGCAGCTGCCTCCAGGGCTGTCAGGTTTCTAGGGGATGTGAGGGCGCCTCCCACAGCTTCTAGGCGCCAGACTCCACCCAAGTCTGCTGAAGTCTACTCCTCACCATACTGGGCACTGACGAGGGCTGGGAGACGTGGGGGCGCTTGGCAGTCGCAGGCCCAGTGGCCCATGGGGAGTGGATGGGACCTCCTGGTCACTGCTCTGACTCCTCAGGCCCACTGCACCCCCTGCTCACCTTCCTCCCGAGTCGTCTTCTCCAGACTGGTAGCTATGAAAGTGTATCAGTGTTTTGGGTTTTTGCTCAAAATGAATGAGGGAGAACCTCCTTCTCCGTTTGCCCTGGGAGATTGGGGTGACAGTGGCAGGTGGTGGCCCCCCGCCGTGCGCACTGTCACATGACTTACCCCTGGTGAAGTCTTGCTGACTCCATAGAGGCACTTGGACCACCCAGGCCCTGGGACAGCCCTGGACAGGCGGTGGGCTCCGAAGTCTGCCTGCATCTTTGCAGCCTCTCCGCAATTGCTCGGTCGCTCACCATTCAGCATATATATATTTGTGAAGAGTGTACTTTAGGTCAGCCCCTGAGGTGGGTCCCAAGGAGACCTAAACAGGAGTTCCAGTCCCTGCAAGACAAATGACCTCCCTTCTACCCTAGAGTATGACAAAGCTGAGATGGGCGAGGAGCCCAGGGTGACTTCCTGGAGGAGGAGGCATGCCTGCTACAACCTGAAGGTGCAGCAGGCAGAGAGAGCAGTGGCCAGCCCAGGAGTCCTGTGGCTGTGCACGAGTGAGAGTGTGTGTCCAGTGTGACCTAACCCTGAGGCCACCTGTCACTCCCAGCCCTGGCTGTGCCCGCTGGGCGGCCTGAGCCAGAAAGGCCCCAAGAGCAAGGCTCCTGTCTGGTCAACAACAGCTGGCCCAAGGCTGGCCAGAGAGAGGGACTGGGCCACAGCTCCCTCCACTAGCTGCCAAGTGTCTCCCAGGCAGAGCTGAGAAGAAAGGGTGTTTGTGAGGAGGGGAGGCCTCCGCTCTCTGTGACCCGGTGGGTCCCAGCCCGTCTGGGCCACCCTCTTTTATTCTCTGTAAAGCAGACAGTCCTACCTGCCCGCCTGAGGCGGTCCAGCCCCCACGGGGCACTGGTGACAATGTGGCATGTGTGATCTCACCAGAGCCTCCGACCCCACCCAGGCCTCGTCCCTTGTCCCTGAGCACCTGAGACAGAGGCCGGAGATGAGACCAGCGCTCGGGCCCCTGGCTGCGGCCGGCCCCTGGGGGAGACCCTGCAAACGGGGTGTGCCTCCTCCTTGTCCTTCCCGACTCAGGGCCAGGCCCGCCCTGAGGTCTCAGAGGCTCCGGGCCCCTCCTGGAAGCCCCCTCGCCGGCCACGTGCTCCACTCCCAGTGCCCAGCCCACGTGCCCAGAGCCGAGCCCATGCCTCAGCTCCAGGGCTGCCCCTGTCGACTTCTGCGTCCCTCCTCTGGGCTGGGCCGTCCCCCCAAGCCCCTGAGAGGCCCTCAGGACCCCACTGTACAGGGATGGGGTGGGGTAGGCCCTTTATGCTTGGGGCTGCAGCCACCAAGGCGGCCAGCAGCCTGGCTCCTGCCCGCCGGCGGGGTCCGACCCCAGCTCCAGCCTCCGCTAGCTGTGTGGCCGGGCGGTGGCATCACCCTTGTGCCTCGGTGTCCTCATCTGTGAAATGGGGCTAACAGCCTCCCTCGTAGGGCTGTGAGGTTTCCCTGAGGTGGCTTCTGCCATTCCCATGTTTCGGGAGTTCCGCAAGCCGGGGGTGGAAGTCAGGCCCCGGCCTCTCCGCTGGCGAGGCGGGCTGGCCCGAGACCCTGACCAGCAACCTGGTCTCTTTACCCACTGGGCTGTCCTGCACCTGAGGAGGTGAGAAATCGCTCCTCACGCCTGGGGGGCTGGGGCCCAGGGGTGCAGCCTGGACTGGACGCTATTCCCAAACTCCCCATCTGGGCTCTTCCCCGAGGTCCTTCAGCAGACCCCAGATCTTCTGCCGAGAGACCCGGGTGTGGGGTCGGGTCGGGGTGGGGGGCCGTGGTCTTTGCTGACCTCCCCACGGCCCCCTCAGAGTTCCTGGCTGTAAACTTCTGTGCGCTTCGGGGCTCTTTGCCCAAGGCCCGGTGTTAATTTGTCAAACCCCCGTCAGGTTCCTGGAGACCCGCTGTTTATGTTCGCGAGCATGCTGGCAGAGCTCACAATTTAGGGGGTGGATGCTGCTTATTTGGTCAGAATAAATGCTAATTAATAAAAGTTATTTATTTGGGTTGGAGCGCACCGAGGCCCTGGGGTCAGGCGCGAACTGACTATTTGAAGCAAAAACAAACAGCGAGCAAGGCCGGCCGGAGGCTGCGTTTATTTGTCTTAGGGAGAATTTGCAGTTAATTCCCTCCAGACCATTTAGGTCCTTAAATTACACGGAATCAGAAAAACCATGGGTGCGGGGGAAGAGCCAGGGAGACTTGATCACTGAGAGCTGAGAGCCGTTTTTAAATGTCTCTGGCCCGCTGACAGCCACCTACATGGTATGTGTGAAATAATTTAATGGCAGAAAACGGTGCACTGGCCTGTTGTTTTTCCACATGGCAACCTAGCGGGGACCAAGTCGTTTTGGTTTAAGGGAGCAGCAGGCCCGGCCCATCCGGGTTTGATTCCCTCTCCCCACCCAGCCCTTCCAAGACCACCTAACAGCCCTGTTCCATGAAGGCAGCTTCGGGCCTTATTTTTAATGGCAGAGAAGAGCAGGGCTTGAGCAAGAGGAAGCTGCCGCACAGCCCTGCTGGCCGGACTCAGCGTCTATTTATTTTCCAAATGCTCTTTAGCTCAAGCATGGACCCCCCAGGACATCCACGCCCATCACTGCGGTTCCCAGGAGGTGACTCAGGAACTTTCGTAACAAATACCCAGCACGTCCGGTGGGAGCAGGATGGGGCCCCTGGCCACCTCAGCCGCCCCCGCCCCCGTGGCCACTGCGGCCGTCCTTCTCCTGCGGACTGGGGTGAGGGGACCCCAGGACCTCAGAGCAAGGCCCCTCCCAGGCACAAAAGCGGGCAAGGCTAGGGGCGGTGTGCTTATCAAGCAATTGCTATGCCCTGGGCCCCAACTGCACTGAGCCCATCGGGTGACCTGCAAGCCGGTGTCCTCACTGCTCCCGGGGGTGAGGACAGCCTTCAGAACAGGGGTGTCCAGGGACACACATGACCCTGAAGACCCTGAAGACCCGGCCTAGCCAGGGCCCAGAGTGGAGGTGGAGGGAGGAAGCCTCGTGGAGACAGGCTCAGCCTCCTCGGCTGGACCCCCAGACCCGTGGGTCCCATCCCAGCTGCCCGTCCTGGGCACCCCCTCAAGCCTCAGTGTCCCTGCGGGGAGAAGGGGTGGCCCTCCAAAGCCGGGGTGGGGGCTCCCTGGGCAGAGGCCTGTGGAGCTCCACCCTTGCCCAGCAGCCCCCACCCCACCCCCGCACCGCTGAGGCTTGAGCCCCGGCAGGAGAGGCTGATGCTGTGGGGACCCCATTGGTGTGGGGTGGGGGGGTCACGCGCCTTTGCGAGGCCTCCCGGTGTCTGCAGGCGCCCCCAAGCCTGGCAGTGGAAGCAGCGTGGCGTCACGTAAACACCCTCAGTTCTGGGTTGCTAGAAACTTCCCGGAAAACTCTTTTTGGCTGAAATGCCCCCTGCATAGAGTGCGTGCCCCAGCCGCGACAGCGCTGGCTCGGCTAGAAAGGCTGGCATTCCAGAAGCTTCCGAGAGCCGGCTAGGTCGCTCGGCCGGGTTTTCGGTTTTCAGCGCCGGGTCTTTTCTTTGTTGTTTCTTCCCGAGTGAGGAGGAGGGGTGGGAGACACCCCAGGCGGCAGACAATTCCCATCCGTCTTCGCCTTTCTTGGAGGCCAGAGGTGAGGAGTGAAGGCCCAGCCAGGCCTCTGGGCCACGGGGCACCACCCCCACGGAGTGTGAGCGAGAGTTCTCCAGGGAGCAGTGCTGACCCAGCCCCCGGCGGATTGCGCACCCTGGGATCACCTGTGTATTGGGGTGCGCTTAGTACACCCCAGCTTATGTCTCCAGGCTCTGCCACATGCCCGCTGGGGCAAAATTTCTGTCCTTTGAGAAATTCTGGTCCAAAGCCAGCGTCAGCCCTGTGGCCCCCAGTCTTCTGGACAGGCCCCCATCCCCGTCAACGGCAGGGAGCAAACTGGGAGCTTGTTTAGAAGCAGGGGTTCGTTGGGGTCCTCCCCACTCAGGGGCTTCTAGATGCCTCGTGAGGAGGGTGGGGTTGTGAGCGTAGCGGACACGCAGCTGCCCACTTCAGTCAAAAAGGCTGACGACCCCGAGCCCCTGGGAGAGCAGGCCTCGGGGCGGGACACTTGGGGGCCGGGGGTTCCCGTGGCCCCAGCCCACTCCTAGGAATCTGTCAGACATAGCAAACCCCATTTGCCTGAGGTTATGGTGGTGGGGTGCTGCTTGTTGTCAGAGGTTGGAAACACCCCAAGGGCCCCTGGGCCCCTGCACAGGGATGCGGGTGGGGGCAAGGGAGGGCTGGGGAAGGGCTGGATGGTTTCTGGGCCCGGGGTGGGGGAGTCCTGGGGGTGGCGTGTCCGAGGGGGACGTGGGGCCAGAACGGCACATGGTCGCTCCACCCTGGGCCAGAAGGGGGCAACAGCAGGCTGGGAGCAGGACAAATGGATTTGAAAAGCCAGATCCTACGACGGGGAGAGTCTGAGGAACAACTCAACGTGGGAGCAAGGAAGAGGAGGGGGCAGGCCCTGGGGTGGACGGCGTCCGGCAGGGACTGAGCCCAGCTGCGGGCCCTGTGTGCGCAGCCGGGGACCTGCAGAGAGGGGTGCAGCTGGCAGAGGGCAGTGAGCCGCCGCCTGTCGCCCTGCCTGCGAGGGAGTCTGTCCTGTGACGTGTGCCGTGACTGAGGACAAGACGCACCTTTAATGAGGAGATCGGATCCTCACGGAGCCCCTGACTGGGCTGTTTGTTCAGGGGCGGGGTTCGCACAGTGGGGGCGTCCTGGAGGAGTGGCCACAGAGCTGGGCCCTGGAAAGTGAAGGGGCAACATCTGCCCTGGGGGGAGATTTTGATTGTGGACGTGGTCGCTAAACCCCAGCCCAGCCTCCGGGTCAGCTGCCCTGCCGGCCTTCACCCTGGTCCTTCCCACCGCTCCCTCTGATGATTGGGGGGTTCCTGTCCGGCCTCGGACGACCCGTTAAAGCACCGCCCCTCCCGAGGGAGCTCCCTGGACCGGGCCCGGGACCCACTGGGCTGCCTGAGCCTCACTCCGTGGCCCGGGCCTTACCCTGGGGCCGCCTCCCTGCCTATGAAGCATCTGATTCACCTCCCCACGTGGGTGGCCGGGCGCCCCGGGCGCAGGGCCTCTGCGAGGCTGCTCGCCAGGTGGGCACTCACCTGCTCCGCCAGTAACTTACTGGACACTTGAGCTTGGACCACAGACCTTGGCCTGGCTGAGGGAGCGGTGAGGATAACAGCAGCTGTTTGTAGGATTCCTGCATGCACCCACAGATCTGTGCGTGTCCAGGAGCGCGTGGGACGCTCAGATGGTGCCCTTGTGCTCTTAACTCTGTAGCATCATAGTTGCACACACCTGTCCCCGGAGGGCTTACCCTGTGCAGAGCCCGCGCCTGGTGCCGAGGACACTAGGTGGCGCCCACGCTGGCCAGGCCAGTGGCCCCTGGCTGCGGGGGCCCTGCCAGGGCCTGGCTGCTGCTGTTGGTCTCTTCCCAGGTCCTGGCACTGTGCACCTGCCTCATGGTGCTCGGTGTGGGGTGGGGTGGAGGGGGGGAGGGAAGCGGTGGTGAGGGGAGGGCTGGGCCTGCCTGCGGGCGGGGCGGGGTGCGCAGAGCAGCTGCTGAGCTGTCTCCCGGTGCCACCCGGAGGAGCTGGGGTGCTTGTGCACCAGCCCCAGGGAGCCTCTCCCTCGCGCAGGTGAGTGTCCCAGCCCCGGCCAGGGCGGCGCGGCCAAGCGGAAGAAGAAGCAGCGGCGAAACCGCACCACGTTCAACAGCAGCCAGCTGCAGGCCCTGGAGCGCGTGTTCGAGCGCACCCACTACCCCGACGCCTTCGTGCGGGAGGAGCTGGCCCGGCGTGTCAGCCTCAGCGAGGCTCGCGTGCAGGTGAGCCTGCCGGAGGGCGGGCGCGGGGGCCGGGCTGAGGGCCGCAGCCGAGCCTGCCACAGGGTGCGGCCTCCAGCAAGGCACCCACCTCTCTGGCCCTTCGGGGCCTCTGAGCGGGGCTCCCGGGCCCACCTAGGCGCATTCGGGGAGCCAATGTGCTTGTAAAGTGGCTGGCATGGGGGTCTCTGCGCCTCTGTGCCAGCTCTGAGTGGGGGCCGGAGCGCCCCACACTCACCAGCTTTCCGGACGCGGCGCCGTTCACCCCCTTCCTTCGGCCCCTGGCCCAGGCTCCGCCCCCGTCACAGGTGAGCGCTCTGAGCTCACAGGTGGAGCTGCCACGGCGGCGCAGCGGGGACCCGGGCCCCCGCGCCAGCTCACGGCTCCTCCCCACCCGCCCCAGGTCTGGTTTCAGAACCGCCGGGCCAAGTTCCGCCGGAACGAGCGGGCCATGCTGGCCACCCGCTCCGCCTCGCTGCTCAAGTCCTACAGCCAGGAGGCCACCATCGAGCAGCCCGTGGCTCCCCGGCCCACCGCCCTGGGCCCCGACTATCTCCCCTGGACAGCCTCGTCCCCCTACAGGTGAGAGGGGCTTTGCAGAGCCCTCCGGACGCGGGAGCGGGACCGAGACCAGAGGAGAGCTGCGAAGGCGCCTTGGACGGGGGTGCCGGGCCGGTGGGGCCAGCGTGTGTGAGCGCTGCCCGGGCATGCGGTGTGCAAGGTTGTGCCCGTGAGTGCGTGTGAGTGTGAGGGTGGCCGCGTGGAGGGACACAGAGCCCGTCGCCCAGCTGAGCCCGCAGGAGGCTGTCTAGGTGGGTCCCGGGGCCCCAGTCCCCGTTGGCCCCCAGGAGAAGAGCTGGGCTGGCATCCCAGAGCCAAGCCCTGGGTCAAAACTGGAGGCGGCAGGACAGGAAAGGAGAGGGAGAAGGTGCCGGGGGCCGGGTCTCTGTGCTCCCAGCCCCGTAGTCTGTGAGCATCTGTGCAGGAGCAGAGCTCTCGTGGGAGGTGAGATCGGGCCAGCTGGAGGGGCAGCCCAGCGATGCCCACGCCGGCCCCCCGGCTCCCCCAGCCGCCTGCCCTGCCCTGGGGCGGAACAGCCAGAGTGGCCCTCAAGTACAGGTGCGTTGCATCCCGCCCTGTCCACCTGGGTGAGGTGCTGGAGGCGCTCAGGAACCCACCTGCTGCTAGTCCAGCAGAAATGCAACACTGGCCTGTCCTAGTGCCAGCCCCAGGCCTTTGGCCTTCTCCCCAAGTCCCTGCAGCCCTGGGGGTCCCCCACCCCGGGGGAAGGCGCCCTAGGAGAACAGCCAAGGACGGGAGGCCGGAGGAGCAGAGACGGGGGCCCAGGACGAGCAGCCGGGCCTCACCAGGTGCCCCGTGTCTCTTGAACCCCAGCGCCGTGCCGCCCTACAGCCCCGGAGGCCCGGGCCCCACCACCCCGGGCGTCAACATGGCCAACAGCATCGCCAGCCTGCGCCTCAAGGCCAAGGAGTTCAGTCTGCACCACAGTCAGGTCCCCACGGTGAACTGACGCCGGCCACCAGGGCCCCGCCGCCGCCCGGCTCCCGCGGCCAGAAGAGGGAAACCGGCGCGCCACCTCCGCCTGAGCCCGGCTGGCGGGCGCTCCTGGGCCTCTCCCAGCCAACTCGGGCCTGCCCAGCCCTCTCCACAGCGCCGTCCTGGCCGAGGCTGCGGCCCTCGGAGGGGCTGGCCGCAGGAGGGCAGGCGCTCCAAGGACCTCGCTCACTTTGTGCATTAAAACCGAAAATCGTTTGTCTTGAGAAATAAAAGTGTGTTAAGCCCCAGGAGTTGCGGGAGGGAAGATCAGGGCCCCAGGCCAACACGGGACAGCCTTCTGGGGCCTGCTCTGGTCTGCGTGGTCACGGGCCCCTGGCCTACCTCGGGCCAGCCCAAGAGGCACAGGCCTGCCCTGGACCCTCCGTCCCATCTTCGCTGCTTCATGGTGGTGGTGGGGGGGGGGCACGGGTTTCTGGACTGGCCAAGGGGCACGTGGCAGGGTCCCACAGGCAGGCCATGTGGGACCCTTGGACATTTGACCATGGAGGGGCCTGTCAAATGCCTCAGAAAGTGGGGGTGCAGAAGGAAGTTCCCAAGCAGACCCACGGGACAGCTGAGGCTGTGAGGGGACCTCCCAAGTCTTTCAGCCTGCTCACTGGAGGGTGGTAACTGGGGGTGACAGGATACAGGTGCCGCCAGCCCCTGGCACTAGGCTGGGCGGGGGGAGAGGGTCTGAATCCCCCTTCTAATGGACACACCCCAGGGGAGTTAACAGATTCTGCAGAAAGAGACCCCAGCCAGCCCCCAGAAGCAGGATTCTGCCCCGGCCGAGGGAGCAAAGCTGGCTGCCCCCTGAAGGAGCACTCTCACAGAGACCACACCTTGATGTGGGCTGGACCCCTGCCCTGCCCTGGCCTCACACCCCAGCACCCAGGGGGCTCCCAGCCACTGCCCCCGGCTCCCAGGTGGCCTCCAGCAGCTCAGGCGTGTGAAGTCCCAGCGGAGGCTGGTCCTCACTTCTGTTTTAGGAGGTGTGCAGTAGTCCCTCGGGTCAGGTGAGGCCCTCCCAGTCTCCCCGATTCTCCCCTTTATAATCTCCCATGGAGAGTCACCCCGCGGAACTGGAATTCCCCTGCAGAGACGTGGCCTGGGGCTCGGTCTTGCCCCCTTTGGAGTGCAGACACAGCTGGTGGTGACCCCAGGCACGCGTGACTCCCTCATTCCGCTGGTGGAAGGTTTCTCCCCTGAGGTGGGGGCCGGGACCCTGGATGGCGGGGGGAGGGGTGAGGGGGTACAGACTCAGACTGAAGGCGTGGGGGAGGGTTCTCTGCTCCCTGTTTCCAGCTATCTCAGGCACCTGGCTGGGTATACCCAGGCAAGCCTGTGCCCTGCAGGGGTGGGAGGGTGAGCAGAGCTGCTTGGGGCACTGCCCACTGCCCTTCATGCATGAACCGTGTGTCCGCCCGAGGGTGAGAGCTCTCATGGGTTCACTGGCCCCAGAGGCCCCAAACCCAGTCTAAGGCATCTGGGCAGGCTTCCTGGAGGAGGTGTCCTGGCTGGATACAATTTGGCTGTCATGCTGGTGGTGGGGAGCTCTGGAGGGGGTCCTGCTTGGTGGTGGGACTTGGTATGTGTGAGGGCCATGGGGCAGCAGCAGGCGCCCCTGAGAGGAGCCTGGACACAGCTGGGGTAGGTCTGGTACCTGAGGGTTTGAGGGAGAGGGAGAGGCTGCGGGGCCAGGTTTTGGCTCAGGGACATGGATGGGAGAGGAAGGGAGACCCTAGAAACAGGAGCTGCCTCGGAAAGGTCTCTGGGGTGCTGTCCTGCCCCACCGGACAGATGAGCTGGGCATCCTGGCCTGAGCCCAGCTCTCCCCCACAGAGACCTCCCCTTCCCACCCCTGCCCCCTGGGGTCTGGACACCAGAACAGCCCATGTGTCCCAGAACCAGGAAAAGCGGCTTCCCGGGATCCCTGGGCCAGAAAGTCCCGAATGCGGAGGGAGGCCCACTGGGACAAGCCCCCACCCCCGCCCAGTCCCCGAGCTCAGGCAGAGGGACAGCCCCTCTCTCTGGCTCCCACCCAAAGGGAGGGCGCCTCGAAGCACCGCCAACTTGGGGCTGCCTGCCGCTGAGCGTGGGGCTCTGGCTGGGTCTCCGGGATGCCAGCCTTGGAAAAAGCGGGGGGCCCAGTTCCCACGGAGGCACCGGTCTGGCCGTGGGCAGCAAGGGTGTCATTGTCACTTCCTCCCGAGCGCTCTAGAGAAAACAGGCTTAATCACTCACACATGCTGGTCGGGGCTCAGGCTGGTCGGGGGCCCCGCAGAAGAAACACCCTCGCCAGCCCCATGGCGGCCGAATCGCAGGTCTAGGTGGGCAGTGTCTGGGATGCAGTTTTCCCTGTGGATGAGGTAGCCGAGTCTCCGTCCCCGCCGGGAGGACTTGGGGTCCCCTGCCTGCCTCCCGGGCCCATTTGGCGGGCCAGCTTGGCGAGGGCATTGTGAGTTTCTGTGCCTGTTCTTTGTTTTTCAGATAAAGCAATGTAAGTTGAGAGAGCGAGAAGGAACATGAAGGGAAAGGTCTTGCCCTGTAGAGACCGGTGTTAGCTGCAGCTAGACACTCCCAGGGCCTCTGTTTCCTGCTCTGCACAGGGGGTAATGCTGGAGGCCTCCAGGATGGGGGTGCTGGCTGTGGCCCAATGCAGGCTCCATGCACAGCTGCTTTGGTGATTCTGGTAGAGGAGCACAGGGAGAGGAGTTTGAAGGAGGCAGAACGCGCCCTGTCCTGGGGCGAAGTGACACTGTCCTTGCCGGCCCTCCCTGTCCCCTGGGTGCCCACCCTCCTGGAGGCCCCCCCGCGCGGACCCAAGCAGGTGGCGTCCTGCTCCTCCTCCGCCCGCCCCTGGGGGGCACTGTGGAGCCACTGGCAGCCGGAGGCGTTCGCCTCCGTGACCAACAGGGGGCGCATCACGCTGCTGCTCCAACCTGCTCTTTACAACAAACAGCAAACCCCAAACCACCTTCCAGAAAAGTGTACCGATAGCCCCGGCCACGCCTGCACGCGTTTACCCAGTAATTCCCTCTCTAAGCTCCAAAACAGGGTGGGGGGTTGCGGGGGAAGGGGCCGGGCCGGTCAAGATGTTGATCACACATATCACACGGCCAAGGTCAGAAAAACCTGGGAAGCGGAAAACCAGAACGTAACGGGCGGCCGCTCGAGGGGGCCGGTGGGCCACGGGGCTCCACGCACCTTCGTGTGAGCCCCTCCGGAGAGTGGGGGGACTCCGCCTGGCTTCTAGGGCGGCGGCAAAGAGGAGGGGTTTAGCAGGTGTAACGAAGGCTCTAATGGTTGCCTTGTTCATCAACAGCGAGGTCGGGACCTCGCCAGGTGAGCCCGTGAAGAGTCCAGGTGTCTCTCTGGAAGAATTGGCGGCAGAGATGTTCTGCGTGTCTGCCACGGCAGCCGGGCTGGAGCAGCCGCTCCCAGCCTTGGGGCGTCTTCCCATTGCGGGAGCCCACTCGAGGCCCACAGGAGGCCGGCTGGGAGGAAGCCCTGGGTGCAGCCTCCAGGACCTGTGAGGCTGGGCCCAGACTCCTGACCGGCAGACATGTGAGGTCACACATAGTTGTGGTTTGAGCAGCTGTGTTGTGGCCTCTTGTTACACAGTGTGTGAAGGCACCAGAGTGGAGAGCTTGAAAATCCACCTTCAGCTTGACCTCGCTCTGCTCTCCATATATTCAAAAATCCCATTCCCGCCCTCCCTGGTGGTGCTGGGGTTAAGTCGCAGCACTATGAGCTGTCTGCAGCAGCTGCAGCATGAGTCAGGTCCCCGGCCAGGGAGGGACCCACAGGCTGCAGCAGACCTCTCCTGTCTCCCGGCTGCCCCCCTCAGCAGTGGACCTCATTGATCAGCCTGTTCTGCTCCCTACTCTGCCTCTGGGGAATCCTCTCACCCCCCCCAACATCTCTGGCCTGCACCCCAGTTCTTGAATGCATAAATAAATAAATCTTAAAAAAAAAATTAAGGTACCTAGCAAAAAGTTCGGGAAGGCCCTAAACCCTAAAGTGAGCAGCGGTGTTCCCAGGAGGTGCATTGGGGGCGTCTCGATTTCTCATTTAGACGCTTGCAGCCCTGTGACAGCTTCCGGGCCAGCCCCCTCCCACCCTCAGGTGGCACCTGCCTCCCCCACTACACTGTCCCAGCGACTGGGGGGAGGCAGGGCCAGCCTGCAGCCCTCTGCATCCACTGCCGGCTGCCAACCCACCCATGTGGCCACCAAGCAGATCTCAGGGTACAGGCCCAACTGCCCTTCCCCGGCCTGCCGGACACCCGTAGCCTGCTGGACACCCACACCCAGGCTCCATCTACCCAAAGCCTCCACCAGCCCCCACTGCTTGACCCCTGTAGCCTCCCCTCTCCACACCCTTGCCCCGTCTCCCCAACTTTGTGCCCCCCCCACCCCTTCCCCGTTTCCAATCACAAGAGCCCGGCAGGGGAGGGCGGCTGAGCCCCTGGATCTGTGCACGTCAGCTTGACCACCTGTCAAGCCAGTCTGACTCAGCTAGGACCCCCGTGGGGGCAGGGGCGGAGGGCCCTCCCTGTCTCCGCTGCCCCACCTCCGTGCTGAGCCCCTGGGTCGTCCAGTCTGTGGGGAGCTGGGCCTGCAAGGATGGGCGTGTGGCCAGGGCGGGGTTCTCACCCGGGCGACTCCAAGGGTCTGGGAGCTCAGGGTCCCTGCGGGCACTGGGCTGCTCCCCGGCTGGCTAGAGGCACAGGTGCGCCCTAGGGCGTTACTCTGGTGCTTCACCTGGGTACAGGGACTTTGGACGAGTCACCATGCCAGGCAGAGCCTTACTTTTATCACCCAGAGGGCAGAAATGCCTCCTTGGGACCGTTTCTCTAGATGACGTGAACAAGCCAGAGGTACCATGGGCGACTGGGCTCGCTGCTCGCCCCAGAGCGCGGCTTCGTCTCTCCACCAGGGGGCAGTGTTACCCCGCCCCTCCAGCCCGGGGGGAACCTGCTGGAAGCCCTATTTCCCTGGGAGCCCACTCTCTGCAGTTTCATCAGTCCGTGGGCGCAGAAATTCAGGGACGGCAGGGAAATGAGAGGTGCAGGAGAGGCTGTGCAGATCCTGGAGAACAGGGTGCCGTGTGGGGCCGAGGTTAGGGTCGTGCCGGAGTTTACAGCCCCGCCTGGGTGCTGACTCGGGGTGCAGAGGAGACCCTACACTTCCAGGCGTCTCCCTCAGCATCCACCTGAGTAAACAGAGCCCTGGCGGGAGGCACGAGGGCATCAGGGAGTGGCTGCCAGGGTGTTCTGGTCAGGGTGCTTCACAGTGGACACGCAGCAGCGAGCCAGCGAGCGGGAGCCTCAGCTGCGTAGGGCCGACACCGGGGAGGAGCCTCAGGAGGCTGCAGGCCGTGGGCGGAGGTGACCAGTGTAGTGGTTGAAGGCACAGGTGTGTAGAAGAGTCCAGAGAGGGTCCCGCACCCCCCCCCCAGCCCCTCAAGGATGCACATCCGCAGGTCAGGAAGAGCCAAAGTTTCCTTTTACTGGCTGATCCAGCAAAGACACACAGTGGGGGAAAGGAGGCCTCAGTGGCGCTAAGGAGCAAGCACTGCACACCCGCACGCGCACCCTGGGCTGAGGGCAGGCGTCGGCCCCGGCAAGGCCGAATGCAGTCCGGGGGTGGGCCTGGGGCTCATGGCTGCAGCCCTGGGCCAGGGGCCACGGGTCAGGACCCTGAACTGGATAGTGCGTGTGGGAGGAATGTCTCCCTTGACAAGCCGTCTCTGTGTTTCCAGCAGCTCCTTCCAGGGGTCCAAGGCGCACTGGTGTGCACAGGGCGAGGAAGTGGCCTTCTCGAAGGGCGTCTCCGAAGGGCGCCTGCTTCCCGCGGGCAGCCCGTGCCGCTGCGGTCACAGGCGGCGGGCGGCTTCCCAGAGGATCTGCAGCGCCATCGAGGCGCAGGGGAGCTGGGCCAGCGTGTAGGCCAGGGAGCGGGAGGGCGCGGGCAGCTCGCCCAGGTAGGCCACGGTGTGCGCCACGCGGCCCAGGAAGAAGAGGAGGAAGTGCGCCCGGGCGATGGAAGGGTTGGGCCCCAGGAAGGAGTAGACCAGGCCCAGGAACAGGAAGGGGTAGATGGTCTCCATGTCGTTCCGGTGCGCTCTGGAAGGAACGGGGTACGGGGTACGTGAGGCAGGCGGGAGCGCTGGGGCAGGGTCTCGTCCTGAAAGGCCCCCACCCCTGCGGGGTCATCCCAGGGGCCTCCAGACCAGCGTCCACTCACAGCAGGGACCAGGAGACACCCGATACTCCAGCTGGCTGAGCGGAGGAAGCCTGGGCAGCAGGCAGATGGTTGTTTTCATAGGAAGCCTCAGGGCTTTCCAGGACCCAGCCCCCACCGTTCCCCCCTTCCCTGCTGACCCGGGACCCCAGGCAGGAAAAGTGGGCTTGGAGGATGTGTGGATGTGCGAGCCATCGGACCAGCCCCACTGGCCCCCAGCGCACAGGGCTCCCCCCAACTCAGGGCCCTGAGCCCCAGCTGGGCGGCAGAGCGGGGAGCCTGCCTTTGAAACCCAACCCTGCTCCGGAGTCTCATACCGCCCCTAAAAGCAGCCAGCCCCGCCCGCCCCCCTCCTCTCAGGATGCGAGGAGAGCTCCCTCCCTCTCCCTGCAGCCAACCCACCACGGGGCGGCCCCCTCTGCTCCAGTCTCCAAGCCGCCTCTCAGTTGTTTTAAGGAACCAAGTGCGTGGGGGTGGGGGTGGGGGTGGGGGCAGACCGTGTGTGACCCTGCTGTAAATAAATGACCAGAAGGGAAAACCCACCCACATCCGCTAGGCGCTGGTTCACATTTTCCCTGACTCCTGATGGGAAGCTGATGGGTAGCTTCCCTGAGGGGAGTGAGAGCCTCCAGTCCCATAAATTAGCGATTGAGCAAGTGGCTGCAGTCACTGCGGCATATTGGAAGCTCTAACTAATAGGAACCCGCTGGCCAGGTCACGACCTCCCCCAAGCACAGGCCACATATGTAAGGCCCTGGCACTCCAAGAAAACAGAAACCCCTCTCCCGGACTCCAGCTGGCAGGCATCGGCCATGCCATGCCAGGGGCTGGGTCTGGCCCAGCAGGCCCTGGGGTGACCCGCTGCAGGGGGTCCTCTTCACCCCACCCCTATCAAGGAAGTCCAGAGGCAAGGGCCATGTTGTGGTGTTGGGTGTTGCGCTGTTGGGTGAGTGTCGTCAGAGAAGGCCATGGTTGCCCAGAAGCCGTAGTGCCGAGGAGGTAGCTGTACAGGGGAGCACTTTCTAGGGCGTGGGAAACCAGCATAGTGTGTTCGAGATACAGTAAAGTGACGCAAGCAGCTGAGGGTGGAGAGTAACTCAGGAGGGACAAGGCTGGACAATAGCTAGAGAGGGGCCCCGGAAGCTGATAAGGGG